GATGTTGTCTGTAGGGTCATAGAGCTGGCAGTAGATGACCTGGGTTTTGGTCCCATGTCTGCTGCAACTTCTATTGTGACTTGGACATGCCTATTATTTGGTTGTGCTTTGTCTGGCTGACGTGGTGGTGGCTTTCAGAACAGCCCATTTTGGTAGTGGATATTCATGAGAAATTTTTTCAAAAAGTATTTATGAATTTGAGCCAGGGAGAAATTTTCTTTGGCAAATACAACCTTTTGCTGCAGGGATAGTGGTATTTCAGCCTGGCTCAACCTGAGCAGAGCGCTAGTCATGTGCAGAGAACTGGCCTTGACAGCTGGCTCAAAATGGCCTTTCTGGCCTGGCTTTCATTCTCACAAATGGTGGTGAAATATCCTTGGGAAATGATTTTTGTCAGCAGCGTTGAAGACTATGGCAAGAGGGATGTGGAGTTTCTTTCTTTGTGATTCTATATCTAACTATGAAATAAGTGCTTTTTATGGATTGGATGATTTGGCTATATTGAGCAGGGGGTAGCTACTCAATTACATGCCTTGATCTAGCCTCTCCTCTGCAATAAACTGAGTAGAGTACAGTTAGAGTGGAGCTAGACAGCTGCGCTATTTCGGGACACTTCCGGTATCCCAAAATAGTGTTTTCTGCATCTTGACAGCATGCCCGTTATTTCAAAATAGCTTTCCAAATAACAGGCGTGCTATTCCAACATCTCTGTAAACCTCCTTCCACTAGGATTAAGGAACATTTCAGAATAGCAGTTTATTATGAAATTTGTGTAAACAGCGCCAAATTTCAAAAAAAGCTATTTCAAAATTAACTTGAAATAAGCTACGCAATTTGCATAGCTCAAATTGCATAGCTTATTTCAAGCTAAGAGAGCAGTGTTGACGCACTTTCGGCATGAAGTAAAACAACCCATATTATGTACAAGTTTCTCAGGACAGGGGCAGAGAATTCCTTAATTCTTAATGCAGATTTGGGGCACTACAACAATACAAGCATAATGCCAATATTACTATTTCTGTTGCTATTGCTAATTCCCCAGATCCAAACTTTCCAGCCTGAACTGTCCTGGTAAAACAAAACCCAACCAACTCCCCAGCCCCCACACCCCACTACAACCCTTCCTGACTTTGGAATGCCTATGCCAGTACTACAGGCCAAACTTTTATTTCAGGCTTGCTTTCCTTCCTATTGAAATCCAGCTCCAATGAAAGTCGGCAGAAGAAGTCAGGTCACTAATCAGATCATCTATCAGAAGATATAACAGGACTCCCCTCTTTTAATTAAAAGACTCAGAAACACCAGTGGTTCTTGCCAGGAAAAGTTGTTTGACTCATGGGTGTCTGCTTGGTAGATGGCAGCCAACCTGTTTGGGGAAGAGGAAGAGGTGGCAGTAGGGCAAGGGTGGGCAAGATACCACTCATGGGCCAGATCAGGCCCACTATGCCACCAGATCCGGCCCATGGACACCCTGCTGGGAACCTTGAGGCATGCAGCAGCTGCTGTTTTAAGTTCAGGGCAGCTCCCTGGGACTCTCTGCTCTGGAGAGCAGGGGAGGCTTTGGGTGATCTCCCCACCCTCAGCCCAATCCTCAGCTCCTATTGGTCAGAAACAGCTGCCCAATAGGGACTGACCCCCATCCAATCTCTCAGCTCCTATAGGCTGGAAATAACCAGCCAATAGGAGCTGAGAGATTGGCCTGGGTGATGGGGGCAATGCAAGCCTCTCCCCCGTCCTGGAGCTAAGAGCCACATGAATGGAGCAGCTTGCAGTTTTAAGTGGTATGGGGCTGCTGCAAGCAAGAAGCCCAGCCTGCCTTGTGGGTGCTGCAGGGCTGCAGGCCAGGAGATGGCGTGGGCGGGCGGAGTGGCTGGAAGGTGGGGCCACGATCGGCACTAGGAGCCTGTGATTGCGCAGAAGCCTGGCGGGGGCGGACTCCCAGACACTCCCCCAACCCTGGCTAGGCTTCTGAAGCATCCAAAGCAGTGATCACAGCCCCGCCTCCCAGCTGGGACTCCTAGACTGGGAGGCGGGGCCGCCATCGGCGCTGGGAGCCCGTGATTGCCTGGGGACGTAATTGGCTTTTATTTCAGTGTACCTGCATCTTTAACTCTGTAAGACTCTTTCAAACACATGCTATAGCTAATTCCAATGTGCTCTGGATCCGATGCTGCAGAAAGCAGGCCATCTGTTGGGAATTTTTGCAATGTAAATTCATCAAATCTGAGCACGGAGGAACCTGGGGGATGAAGAGCAGATGTTGCCTGATCCATATCCAATGAAGTCTACTGCAAGATTCCCATGAACTCCAGCGAGGTTTGAATCAGACCCACAGAGCCTGCTGTGGGCAGGGGCAGTGGAAACTTTTCAAAAGGCCCCTGCATTGGATTTCATGCCTGAACTTAAGCATCCATTTCTCTGCCAGAAAAAAGTTCCCATGTAAGATCTGCTAAGGCACCTCATTTCTGAGCTATAGTCTGCTCTGTTATTCTGGCCCCGCTTGCCCATCCAGCTCCTCTCTTTGTGCAGCTGCACCCTGACTTGTAGCACTTCTTATTGTTCCACTCCTAAGTGTTCACACAGTTCTGTTAATGCTGCTAATTCCTGGCTTGCATCTCCCCAGCCATTGCCGGCCTGGGATATCTACACCACTCTGCCAGTATGTGTTACTGTTGACCTGCAAACCCCATTGCTGCTCCAGTCCTGGAGTCTCGCACAGATTTCTGCAGTTCCCACCTGACCAGCAGTAACTCAAAACAGGTGTGGGTTGGGCCATTCTATAACACATGCCACACTGGTATAATGTGGCATAAGGTTGAGTGACTTTGATGAAACACAGTCATTATCCTGAAATGTACAGCTGAGGGTGTCATTGCTTCTGATGAAATAAAGGCAAAAAACCCTCATAGTTGTACTGGAGAAGTGGAAGGGCAATCAACGCCTGCATCTCCTTGGTGTGATGAACATGCACATGGTGTTGTTGCCTGCCAATCAAATGCTTCAGTTTTGTCCTGTATTTTAAAGCTACTTGATCAAGGATGGCAATGAAGTGGAAAAAAATTAAAAAATACTTAATGTATTTATGAAGCGGAGGGGCCATCCACAGCATTTACATAGCTTTTCCATGTTGCAGTGATTAATTTGCCTGTGTGTGCATCTAAAGTATTAAGTACTATCATTATTTAAAGTATATGTTTTATATTGCCATAAACATATGGGTAATGCCATTGATTTAGCACACAACAGATGTGCAAACTCCATTATGGCTTTTCAGTAGTGGGCTGAAGAGCCATCACATGCTCTCACTCCAGCCATGTTCAGTTTCTAAACTGATGAAATTTCCTCCACTTGAGCTTGATTTTTTTTTTAAACAAAAGGGGGAAACAAATTGCACTTCATCAAGTCAAGGGATGGGCTTTGCTGTGCTGGCTGCATCATTTACAAGTCGAACAACTGCCTGTGCTCTCAGTTGAAACTGTTTGGGGGTGGAAATGTGTTTGTAGTGACATGCAATAATGGAATCCCTGACATCCTCGGAGTCCTGTATAAGAACTTGTCATAGCGAGCACTGGGATTTGACAAGCTCAACAGAGATGCAAATTGAAACAGAGCTGGGTTACTCCAATGCCTGTCTCAGGTCCAGAGCCATCAGCTTTAAGACATAAAAGTCCAGTTTACACTGTGGAAATTGACTGCACTGCAAGTCCCACTTATAACACAGAAGAGCCCACCATTGTTAAAATGGAGTGTAGTCCAGCTATATGGAGGGGACTGACTTGGTTTTTAACCATGTTTCAGAAATGATCAAAAGAACAGATTTTAGTATGATTCAAGAATATGGTTAGAAAAGAGTATGATGCAGCCAATGCTGAGGCTTCATTTTAGGAAATCTCCCACTGTTACATTATAACCAGTGGTAGGGATGGTGGGAATGATAATAGAGACTGGCCACTGAAGGTTTTACCACCACTGGGGACAACGAGAAAAAATTGGTGGCTGATTTACACTAGATTTTATTTCTACCATCACTGGTGAAACCAGGCTGGTGGGACAGCCAGGACAGAAGACATCTCAGACACTATCAGCTGTCTGAAAGACCAGACCATGTTTTAACAAGGCTCAAACATGATAGACGTTCTTAGTGTAAAAGGGGCCAAAATTCCAATGTACAGTTCAGTTTAATCATTGACCTAAGTATGGTGAACACTCAGCTGTGGCCAAACTAGATTCCAACACAGTTGTCAACCAGTGTGGACAGGGTCAAAGTGTCTTAGGCAAAAGCAGTAGTTCTCAGCTAGGGATATGGTTATCCTTGGGGATACTCAGAGATCATCCAGGGGATACATCAATGCATCTAGCTTTGCCTAGTTTTAGAACAGGCCACATAAAAAGCCCTAGTGCAGTCGGTACAAATTAAAATTTCATACAGACACTGACTTGTTTATACTTCTCTATGTACTATGCACTGAAATGTAAGTGCAATATTTATATTTCATTTTAATTAATTAATTAATCAATTAATTAATATGGCTAAATGACAAAGTAAGCCATTTGACAGTAACAATGTGCTGTGACATTTCTGTAATTTTGTGCCTCATATTGTAAGTAAATAGTTGTAAAGTGAGGTGTAGCTTGGGGATTATGCAAGACAAATCAGACTCCTGGAATAGATGCAGGAGTGTGGAAAGGTTGAGAACTACTGGGCTAGAGCATATTTTGTGAACGTTGTCCTAAATCCCTTCCTAAGCCAGTTGTGCTGCCTCGATTTGATCCTGTTTACCCTGGCCATCCAATCCTATTAGAATTTATCCTGGTCCCAAAAGAGTGCAAATCACGCTGGCACACAGTTCTTACTTAGACTGTAAGTTCTTAAGGCGCACAGCCTGTCTCTTACCATGTATAGCATATGTCTGTTTGCTATTCTATTATAAATAATTATTAAATTCTGTTATATAGTGTGTTGAGAGGACTAAATGAGGGCTGGTAAAAATTAGCTATTTTTTGACAGAGAACTGGGCTTTTGTTTGATGGAAAGTTTCTGCTTTTTGCAGAAAATGTTGACTTTTTGTCAAAAATCCAAACAACAACAATGTTGGTTTTCAATATTTTCAACAAAAAAATGTTGGCATTTTCCTTGGGAACAATATAATTTCTGATTAACTCTATGCTAAGCTGATCAAAACCAAGGAAATACAAGTTAAGAAGGCCACACACTTGTTGATCTTTAGCACTGGAAGGTTTGCTGCTAAGGAGCTTGCTCCAGTTTATGAAGGAGCCCTACTATCTCCCATGATAAAGATAGACTTGAAAGAAAAAGTATTTTTCCTTCCTGAGTTCTAACTACTTTTTCCTTGCTGTCCATTGCTCCTGTTCGAATCAGGGTAGTTGATTTTATCATGGCAAAGCATTTGTATGGAATTTGGCTCTGCTGAATAACTCTGGTGCTGGTACGCACCTCATAGTAGTAGGCCTCAATTTGTCCCTCAGACCCTTTTTTACAGGAGGAGCAGATGTTTTGTATAACAGTAAATAATAAAGGATTTTTTTGTAGATGAAAGGTCCCAGGATATTTTACTTGGTTGCAATTTTCAGGTATTCTTAGATTTTACACTGGTCACAGAGACCCAAGTCCTCAACGGTATTTTTGCAAGCCTAACTCACACTGAAATCAGGAGAGGCTACAAATCAGTGAGAGTTAGACACCTAAATACCTTTGAGGATCAGGGCCATTGTTTCTTGCCTGCTCAAACAGCACATCTCTCAGTCCTGATTTTTGAGAGCCTTTGTGGCATAATGAATCCCCAAAAGGGATGACAGCGGGTGGCCATGGTTATAAGCAAAGAAATTCTCAAAATCTTTTTGATTTCACGTTAAAATTATACTTATATATGTGTATTGAATGGAGAGGGGCAAACACTCTGCTGACCAATGAAATCCCAGATTCCTACAAGGGCACAACCAGTACAAATTATATTCTAGTCACACCAAACAGACTTGGAAAGGGGGAAGTTTTCATTAAGCAGTATAAGTGGTGCTTACCCATGGCAAGTTCCAGCTGTGGCCCTGATCCCATGGCTGGAGCTGCTTTGACGTGACTACTGATAGTTCTTGGTGTATTGTTTAGGTGGGTCTTAACAGAGGGTTTCTTTAAGATCTCCTCAATAGAAAAAGACAGAGCAGGTTTCCCCTGACTGTCATATTCCCTCGAGTCACTCATCTTCATCCCGCTTGGAGGAAAGAAGACCAATTCTCTTTTTGTGTGCAAAAGGGAAGAAAAAATCCTCTCTACTAGAGTGCTCTCTGCCGCTTGCTTATTCCAAGAAAAATAAAGGTGAACAGGTGTATTCCTCTCCTTACCGGCACCCTTTCAAATGAAATCAGTGGCAATGGAGCAATGGCGACTGCTGATGTGTGAGAAAGCCCACATCTTCTCTTTCTGATCCTTGGAGTCCACTTCAAGGCCAAGAATAACTCTGGAGTAGGTAGCAAAATAACACCAGATGTCACTGGGAGAAAAGGCTAAACAGCTCTCACCCCCACAAAACAATCCCCAAAGCACTGCAGCTTTAAAGAGCTCTGAACAATCTCATTGTAATCCCAGGAGGAGTGTTCCCTGCAGACTCATGGCAAAAATGCCCAAGAAAGTGTCGCTTCACTTAGGTGAATGTTTGTGGAGAGAAGATCTTCCTTTTTGCTTTTAAGCAAGAATCCCTTAGAAGTCCCAATATTGTTTTTCTGATATGAATATGACTTGAGAAAATAACAGAGTGCTTAGCTAATTCATTCCTTTATGCCCAGTTACTAGCAAGAGTGGCACACTGTATGCTTTCCAAATATTAGACTATCTGGTGCAGAGAGAAAGGAACCCTCCCTAGCCTATAACATGCAGGTTTACTGCTGCCCCTTCAGCCACAATCTTTGAGTCAAGTTTTCTCCTCTTCCAGATCCAGAGCCCTCTGAAACTTCCACATAGGCCTTTTTTTATCAGCTTCCCTTCAAGCCAGCCATGCCAGGAGAAACCGCCGTTGCTTCCATGGGACTGTCAATCCGCTGGCACAAAAGTGGTCTCCTTGTTCTTGGCTCTGCAGCAGGCTGGGTTGAGGAACCTCCCATCAGTTGCCTCCTACTCCTAACTGGGCATTTAAGCCGGGGGAAAATTCCCTGGTTAACACTGAAGAATTCCCCTCTATCCCACTTTTTTCTTCTCAGTATCTAAAGAACATGCAATTGGTCGAACTCTCCCCTCCTCCCCCGCCCCAACCTTGGTAAATCCTTCTGGGGTTGCCTCTTGCCTTTTACCTTTTCCCAGTCTGGCTCCCTTTTTCTGCTTATTCCCCTTTTGTGCTTTCCTTATCTGTCTCCTATAATTGTATGGCAGGCCCTTCCTTATTTGTCCAATGAACTGACAATCCTTGAGCTCATTTCCCATCATGCCATCCCTTGGTGGAGCTAAACCCCAAATTACTGTGTAACCAGGAGGCAATAAAAAAGCTGATAAGATGAAAAGCTCTCTTTGCTTTTTCTAGGGATTCTACAAACTGGGCAGACTCGAGCGAGCACAGGGGAAAAAGGGTGGCAGAAGGGCACAGAATGCTGCCCTGAGTCACAACGAAGCATATTTAGCAATCATACTTTATTAGTCTAAATTCCCCATGGGAGAGAGAGGAAGCAAC